ATTAATGGTCAAATGTGACCTATGAACATGGATTATTTTCTTTGAAACTGCAGGTAGCTTTCCAATGCATGCAACAACAAATAAGACACCCATGCATTTTTAGGTACTTTCCTATACTTCAGCTGACAAGAGGCAGTCAAAGTCATTGAAGGTGGGCTGCATATATGTAGACTAATGGCATATTTAAAAAGTCTCACCTATTAATAAAGTAGATTGTGTCGGACACTTGGAAAGAATGATGCACAGAACAGTTCTAGACATTGACACTGCTCTCAAACAAGTGCCATTTGTACAAAGAAAGGGATAGGACTCTGACACACCTACTTCAGAGTCTGCTTCCCAAACTCAGGCAGTGTCTTTGGACACTTCAAGGTGAATAGTTTTATTGGAAACAGTGGAAATAATTTATTGCAGGGAGACGATGCAGAGGGAAATTCCCATTCCATTTTGAGCATAGTCAGCGGAGCAGGCACAACACAGGAAATAGAGACAGTGATGACAGCTTTGCAACAGGAATTACTAATTCAAGTTAACTACATTAACTTCTATTTCTTATCCCCACCAGGGACACCATCTAAAATTATCTCCAGTGTTGATAGTACTGTATAAAAACAATCCAGTTTCCCTATATTTCTGTTTCCCACTGACTAAGGAATCTGTGTATTTTGATCAAGGATGAAAAGAATACTGAACAACTGCTAAATTTATTTTTTCATGGAGGGAGATTGCCCCCTGTTTATTACTTTTTTGGTTCAATACAGCCTGCAAACATCATATTATAAGATAGAGTCTAGCTTGAATGTTTGCTGCACCTTTCTCCTCCATTCCGTCTTGAAACTGCCTTTTGCTTCTCCGCTTCCATGTTTGCTTTTTGTAACTTATTGACTGACAAAGAAATCTGGGGACCTCAAAGCAAATGTGAACCTGAAGTCGGCCCAACAAAGGTGGGCCATCAAATGACCCTACTGTGAATTCTGGAATACTTTATAACTCCTTAACCCTTGCAGGAATTCACTGCTAAAGCATTTCACACAGGTAGCCATTCAAAAATGTGATTTGAAATCTCTTAACAATAAGAGAAGCCAGAGTAATGTGTTGATTTGAGTTTTGGGCTTGGCCATGGAAACCCACTGTGTGACTGGGTCACACTCTTTCAACCTCAAATGAAGGCAAAGGCAAACCCTCTTTGAACAAACCTTGCACAGAAAACCCTGCAATAGGATCATCTTAGAGTTGCCATAAGTCAGAAACAACTTGAAGCCACATGATAACAATGAGAGGCTATTACCTTTTGAGGTAGTCTATTCCATGGTTTAACAGCAATTACCATAAAGAAGTTCCTCCTTATGAATTATCAGGAGGGAATTCTGATGGGGAAGACTTTTTAGAGGTTGTCCACTGGCTTCTGGTCTGTGATACACTGATGTGTGGAAAATAGGCTGCAAATTGGATTGGTTCAATAAAAACTGTGGTGTTTAAGCCTTGAGAAAAATAACTATTTCCAAGTTATGCAAGAGAGAAAAGAGCCCACACTTTAACACCCTTTTGGATTTGCATGCAATGCCTTTCCTTCTCCAAGCACACTTGTTCCACAATTGTGAAAATCTTACTATTAAAAAGGGCAGCAAATTTGTGCAGCAGGATTTAGTTCCAGTGTGCCTTCCCGGAATAATGATCCCTTAGCACTTTGTCCCTCTAAAGCACTTTACATTTTTAGGTCTGGTCGTATGTCTTTCCACAAACGCCACTATCACCTTTTCGCCCATGTTTCAGCACTATTTCCAATTTTAATTTTACATTTGGCCTTCCCACAGTTTTTCATTGTATGTTGTCTTATGGAAAATGTTATATGTTTATTGTTTATGTTTTTATTTCAATTGCTTGTATTGTTGTGATTATTGCTTGTATTGTCGTGTTTGGGCTCGGCCTCATGTAAGCCGCACCGAGTCCCTTGAGGAGATGGTAGCGGGGTACAAATAAAGTGTTGTTATTATTATTATTATTATTATTATTATTATTATTATTATTATTATTAGTTCTGGCTCCCAGAGCACTGCAGAAAGCAGAGGCAGAGGAATGTGTGGCCCTTCTGATATTAAATTTTGTTGAAATTCACTACTCTAGCTGCACTTACAAAATGCTTGAGAGTCTCAGAAGCGTTCTGGTACACATAGAGTGAGCTAAGAGCTAATCATCTTATTTGTAGGCACTGTACAGGCATCTGATTCTGGACAGCTCTGGTCATAAATCAAGATTAGGAAGAAGACCTGCTGCAGTTAGAATATGGAATTGCCACACCAAATGCTAGATTCCCAAGCAAGTAGGTTTGCATGAATTCCTACTGCTTCTCAGTACTCTTAGAAAAGAAACAATATCCTACTTAGAAAAGAAAAATATAACCCTTCACCATCATCACTGCTAGTTGCACTTGGCCCGGTCCACAGAGCAGATTATGAGGAGGCAATAACACAGCAGGGGCATCCAATGTCTAATTGTATCAAGTCTGCAATGGTCACCCATAAATCTTCAATGTAAGACAAGAACTGTACACTGAATTTTCCATTTAAGAAAACAGCCTTCTCTCTTCCAGCAACCATTATACGGTCTTCACTGTGGGAAGAGCCCCCAGGGGCGCAATGGGTTAAACCCTTGTGCCAGCATGACTGTGGACCAAGAAGTCAATGGTTCAAATTATGTAATCTTATGGCTTTCTGGTCTACTAAATGTACTATCATGCTACAGACTTCACCTGGAAAACTTTCACGGCCAATATCTGGATGGCTTTCTGATTCCTCAACATTCACAATTATTTCCAAAGTATAAATCGACATTTGAAAATACAATATTTGAGCTCAAGCTTTCAAGAACTCAATATTTCCAACACTAGGCCACACTGCTAAAGAGTAACATTAGGACTCCTTTCTCTTTGCCATACCTATGCCAAAAATGATGTATTAATAGCCTCTGAGTGAGAAGGTACAGAGGAAGCTGACATTAAGACAATTTTATTCAAAACTGTTGAAATAGCAAGCTGAGACCTTGACCTGCCATCTTGGGGTCATCCATCCTTTGTCATGAAAAATTCCTGTTTGCAGAGATAGTCTGTGGTTCAGTCCTGAAGGAATTTTTTTATGATGCTATACAGTCAACTACAAATATATGTAACCTTCAAAATAACAGGTCCAAAAAGACTAGCGTCCATGAAGAGCATGTTTCAAAATGGGTTTTAAAAACTACAACTCCTTAACGCACCCATACACTCAAACAGAGTTGCTATAGTTATTGACACTGGGACTTGCTTCCTCTGTAGAGTTTCTTCTTCTTAAAGTTGTTGGTATATTACCTCCTCTCCCAAGCTATTATGATCCTGACAGCTGTGAAAACTGGGAAAATTCCTGAAGTTCAAATAAAGTAACTTTTCCCAGCTCTCACTAGAGATAACAGAAGCCCTGTTCACAGAAATGGGAAGAGAAGAGGCAGGCAGTTAGTCAGAGGGTCAAACAAGGAGGCTCAGTAGGAAGCCTATTGAAGAGAAAGGCCTTCAGAGCACAGGCAAAGCAATAGGGGGCTTTTGCTATGACAAAAGTCAAAACAATTCAGAGAGTCACCACAATTCATGTTCTTCACATTGACTGTTCCACCCAATTAAGGGCAGATAATCACCCTCCAGCCTTTAGGGACTACAAGCCTCTTAGTGATGAGACCAGTCAAGCCTTCCTAATGCATTTTGCTTAGCCACCAGAATGAAAGATTAACAGGACCAACATGGGTTCTTTTCTCTCTCGCTCTCCTAATTTTGTAGTACATGGCCAGCTTCTCCTTTGCTCACTCTGTGTCCCTATAGCCAAGCAGAGCAAGAGGGAAAGGCAGCTTGAGTGCCACAACAGGAATGTTGCATTTAACCCTTGGAAATATCAAGCTCAGAATAATTATAAATGTGTTTATATTTATTCACTGGGGAAGTAAGATGAGAATCCATTCCTGGGTTTCAGTTCGGGAAAAGGGAGTCCTCAGATTCATTTAGCTGCTCAATCAGGGGATGAGTCTGCATGTATCTTTGGAATTAGCTCTTTCCTGTCTGTTCCAGGATACAGAAAAAGGGTGGAGGGGAGGGGAGGCAGAAATATCTTGGTGTGCTCCACTGGCACATTTATGGAAGAAGAGCATATTTCAAAATCTACCAGATAGGTTATTAGTGAAATTAGTAGGAGTGTGTGAAAGGACTGTGGGGAAAAGGTAAGCAGCCTATTTGGACAATAGCTAGCAACACAGTAATGCAAGCTCTGGCACACAAGCGGCAGGTCAAAGGCCCTCTCTCTCCAGAAGCATTATAAATATTTAGGGTTGGGCAGGGTTGGTTGGGAATGTAAGGAGGGCCTGTGAGTGTCCACCTTCCCGCCCTGCAAATAACGTACTAAAAGCATCATAAGAATGGAATTTCAAGAAACAATTAACACCCACCAGAGGATTGGAGGAAAGAAATTATTATTATTACCATCATCAGTACCTTTGGCTAAAGCCAAAGGACTGGGCAGGGAAGGAAGGAACACCTTGTAAATAACTTGGCGGCAGCAACAGCAGCAGCAGTGACAGTGGGTGTCGCTGCCAACAAAATCTCACAGAGTATCCATTTCATATATTCCAGTCCCAAAGGAGCAGACAGAAATGGTATATGTTTTAATGTCGATGTCCAGGGATTTAGGCATTTAAAGTGTTGATTTTCCTCCCACTCTCTCTCAGTTTCTTCCCCATACACAGAAAGAGAGGGGGGGAGAGCCAAGGCTTCAAACTGACTTGCTAAATTAAGAAGCCCTCCCGGCCAGATTTGTGGCCCTTGCCATTCAGCCTGAAAGCAGGAGAGAGACTTTGCTGCCTCATCAGTCTTGTGCATGAGGCTCATTCACTGTACAGATCCTGCTGCTTAGACATCACCTTTCAGACTTTGCTATATGCTGAGAGAAATAGAAATACATTCCTGTCATGCATGGCATGGGACTCACCAACTGACAGGCTGGGGTCTGAGCTGCTGGTGCAAAGCCACGGAGAAGCCAAAGAAGCTGCCGTTGTCTCCATACTTGAGGATGGTTTCGGTGATGTCTAGGTTGAAGGCTGAGCTCCCCAGGAGATGGAGACTGAAGCACAAAAGAGAAAAGTAGAGATCTCCAGGCATGCTGAGGAGCTGGTAGTAGGCACAATACTTGGCGCTGACACTGCAACTCTTCCCAGCCCTTCTCTTCTGGGAGGCTTTGGAGGAGGCAGGCTGCTGGCTCACACGCCCTCGCGCTCTCTGCCTCGCTCCCTGGGCTGGCTGGCCGTGACTGCCCAGCCGGACTGATGCTGAACACTCCTCAGGCAACCTTGCCTCACATGCCTCTCGCTCTCCCTCTCCTCTTCCATTCTGGAGTGGGCAGGTAGGAGGAGCACAGCTTTCAAACAGCAGACACGCCCCTTCCTACACATCCACCCCTGGACATCATGAAGGGGGAAAGCAGAAAAGAAAAGCAGGTGCAGAAAAAACCCAAAGGCCACAAATCCAGAGACTATAAATAAAACTTTGGTCACAAAAGGCAGGCAGGCAGGAAGGCAGGGAAATAAAGAGAGAGAGACAGAGAAGAAAGGAAGGGAGAAGAGAGAAAAAGAAAGAAGGAAGGAAGGAGAGGTGAGGGGAAGAAAAAAGAAGAGAGGGAAGGAAGGAAGGGGAGAGAGACAGACAAGGAAGGAAGAAGAGTGGGAGGGGAAGGAATGAAGGAAGGAAGGAAGGAAGGAAGGAGAAGGAAGGAAGGAAGGAAGGAAGGAGAAGGAAGAAGAAGGAAGGAGAAGGGAGAGGAAGAAGGGAGAAAGGAGAGGGAAAAAAGGAAGGAGGAAAGGAAAAAGGAAGGAAGGAAGAAGGGAAGGAAGGAAGGAAGGAAGGAAGGAGGAAGGAAGGAGAGGGAGGAAGAAAGAAGAGAGTGAAGGAAAGGGAGAGAGACAGGGAAGGAAGGGAGGAAGGAAGGAAGTAGGAAGGGAAGGAGGGAGGGAGACAGAAAAGAAAAGAAGGAAGAAGAGAGGAGGAGGAAGGAAGGAAGGAAGGAAGGAGAAGGAAGGAAGGAAGGAAAGGAAGAAGGAGGAGAGAGGTGGAAGAGGAAGAAAAGAAGAGAGGGATCCCCATAGGAATCAACAAACTTAAGAAAGGAGAGAATTAGAATGTGAAATTGAAAGGGAAAGAGGAAGAAGGAAGGAAGGAAGGAAGGAAGGAAGGAAGGAAGGAAGGAAGGAAGGAAGGAAGGAAGGAGAGGAGGAAAGAAAGGAAAGAAGGGAGCATCGGGAAGGGAGGAAGTAAGGAAGTAAGGAAGTAAGGAAGTAAGGAAGGAAGGAAGGAAGGAAGGAAGGAAGGAAGGAAGGAAGGCTGCCTTTTCTAGATGTCCGGAAGATAGGAGGAAGGAAGAAGAGAGGGAGAGAAGGAGAGAGAGAGGGAAGGAAGGAGAGGTGGGAGGAAGAAAGAAGAGAGGGAAGGAAGGGGAGAGAGACAGAGAAGGAACTTTGCCCATGGGTATTCTAGTCCCTTCATGATTCTACAGCATTTGTCAATATTTTGACAAGTGCAGTTCTCCATATATAGACATACCACTTGTTAAGGGTCTAACTCATTTGTGTTTTCCAAAGTAGGACTGCTTGAAGTCTAGTTGCCACTGACAAAAACACGACTGTGCTAAACTGTGCTAATACTGTGAGTGCAAGGTAATCTGCTGACCAGTATATCATTGATTTTTGAAAATATCTTCTTCCTGAGAATTGCCTCCCATCACACGCACACACATATACACACAAATATAACACCTGCTGGCATTTTGTTGTGCACAGTAAGAAGCAGGACGGTTGCATAGAGCAGCCTTTAAGGCATCAGATACCATCTGTTTATTACCTGAACACAACACACATGATTCATGCACATGATTAGAACCCAGAATGGATTTGTTGCTTATTGACAAGGGAGCAACTGCTGGCTCCCTTGTCAATAAGCAATAAATCCATTCTGGGTTCTAATCAAAATGTGTTGAAATCTTAAACTAGAAAATGAAATATTTTGCTGAACATGAACATGTCTTCTTCAAATGCACGACTAATGCCATACTTTGTATATTTGATAGTTGAATGCTGACACTGAGAAGCCTTGGAGGCTCAGACCTCCCTCTCTGGAGGTTTTTTATACAGAGGCTGGATGGCCATCTGTCAGGAGTGTTTGGATTGTGTATTTCCATATAGCAGAATGTGTTGGACTGGCTGGCCCTTGGGATCTCTAGGCTTCTCTAATTTTATGACCTATTGCAGACCCTACATCAAATCAAGATGCCCCAGGGATGGCTATAGGCAAAAAAAGACAACTAAGAATAGTGTTGCTTCAGCTCCCACCATGAGGCACATAAAGGAGAAAAAGCAGCCATCACATTTTCCAGTACACAGAGGCTATTTTTAAATAACTGTGAAAGCTTGAAGTGACATTGGAGTGTTGGCAAAGGCCCCATGTCCCTGGGAATCCGGATCATTTACAGGACGCAGCAGCAAAGGAACAGCCCAAGCATCACAGGAAAAACTTGGAAGTCCTCAATCCCTTAGGACTTCTGTTCCTTTTTAGTGAGCTGCCCTTTCCACTGTTTTGAGGTTTTTTCTCAACTGTCAGAAAATAGAGCTATTGCTTGCTGGGGGGTGGGGTTCTTTCTATCTTCATTCCAGGGCCCTGCCTTTTCTAAAAATTCAGTTTCAGATACTTAATTGTCTCAAAGTTTTTCCTACAGTTTATCAAAATTGCTGTAAACTTGCCATACTTACTGTTGAACACCAGGTGTCTTTTTCTGAACAGAACCTGAGAATTGGCCCAATTCCTTCCTTAAACCCCCAGAGAGAATATTTATTTATTCCTGAAGGCCAACACTTTACACATAGAGAGAGAGAGAAAGAGAGAGCTCTGAATAGCTGCTTCGTGCTATATTGAGCAGATAGACTCAGAAACAAAGATAATAACACACACATATTTTGCTGAATATGGTTTGATCCAATGACAGCTGACGGCTCCCATATCAGTGGAATGCTAAGACCCTTCCAGTATGAACTTTAAAGTTGCTCTCTGAGGTTCTGAACCTGTTTGGAGGACAGCAGCCACTGTATTGGGGAGTTAGCCCTTCCTTCAAA